GGGGAGGAACATGTTTTGAAGCTGCAATGATTATCTTGCAATTTACTCCTTTACTAGAGATTTACTCCAAATGTTTTCAGTTGGAAATTAATTTTCACAGAACAGAGTTGCGTAAGAAATGGGATTTATGAAACCACCACTTATATAATTAGGCAATAACTAAAACTCTTATATTCAAACTACTATTACCTTCTTTCAAATGAGTACAGTACTTCATTAGTTATGAAAATTATACAGGCAGTACATGACTTATAACCATTTGTTTAGTCATTGTTCCAAGTTACAATGGCACTGAAAAAAATGACTTATAACTGGTTCTCACCCTTACAACCATTGCAGCAACCCTATGGTCATGTGATCAAAATTTGGGTGCGGGCAACTGGCATCTATTTATGATGGTTGCGCCATCGGGGTGATGTGATTGTCATATACGACCTTCCCAGCCAACTTCTGACAAGCAAAGACAATGCGGGAAGCCAGATTCATTGAACAACCACACAATTCACTTAATACCCGCAGTGATTTGTTTAACCACAATGGCAAATAAGGTCATAAATATTGGGCACGACTCACTTAACAACCCCCTTGCTTAGCGATGGAAATTCTGGTCCCAACTGTGGTTGTAAGTTGAGGACTATCTGTCCTGTCGTGAAAGATCATATGTGTAGGTAAAAGTGTCTACATTCAAAAACAAATGCTTTTGAAGAGCACCCGGTGTCATCTGCACCTGAGTTGCATTTCATAAAGATAACAATGAAAAAAAAAGCTATCTGAAAGCTAAAGTTCCAACTGACAAAATCTAATATTAGTATTAACAAGTACAAAAGATTGCAAAATACTGTGCAGTGTATATGTCAGAAAACCATTTAAAGGATAAATATCTACTAGCAGAGCCTTAGCAAAAACAAAATTTATGTTTAATTCAAGTTGGATATTATTCAAAGTATGCACTACAATTTTAAAGAAACACTTTTTAAATTTAAAGATGCAAATTTTCTGAAGAACTGAATTGGCTTCATACCGGGCAGGCATGTCAAACTCGCGACATCGTGTGACGTCACATGACTTTTTTCCCATTGCCGGCAATGGGGTGGATGCGGTTTCGGCATGATGCATCTGACCCGTGGGCTGGCAGTTTGACATGCCTGATATAGGGAAATCTAGTTCTCTTGTGCAAGAATAGCCTCAAAAATATTAATTATCAGCTTTTACATTTCTATTTTAAAATTTCAGAGTCAATCGACTTTGTATTTCCTAATATAGGACAAAAATGATTGGAAAACAAAATGCTTAATGACCTATCTAGAATGGGAACTTTATTTTTTGTTTTGTCTCATAAAATGTGTTTATGAAACAAAACAAAAATAAAGTTCCCATTCTAGATAGGTGTTTTGTGGTTGACTTGAACAAATGAAGGATTACATATATGCCAGCTCTTACCGAAGCCATGGATCCTTGAGACCAAGTTTAGCCAACCTTTCCTGGACAGTTTGCAAGGGGGTACCTTCTATTTTCCATTGCCTGTAATCAGGAAGCTCACCATTACCATGGCCCATAATCCTGAGAAAAGATTTGTAAAAGTAAAACTTACAAAATATATAGTGCTTGTTCATCTGGAATATTGCAAAATCAATATTGTGGAGTCCTCCTAAATTTTCTAGGTGTCTTATTTTAACAGTGTTCTTACATAGTTTTTTTTGTGAGAGCTTGGGTTGTTACTTTGGTAATGGAGTACTTGTTTAGAGTGGGTTGCTTCTAATTTGCTATTTTTTTCCTTTGTTGATGAGGATAGTGTGTTGTTTCCTTCTTCCCTGTGAATACAATTCCTGTGAAGATGATTGTTTTATGTGACTTCTCTAGTTGTTCCTTTTCATTATGATAAAGATGTCATCTACATATTAGATCCATATTTTTGGCTGAATGTGTAGAAATGCTATAATTTCTAAATGATGCATTACAGTCTCTGCTATGATTATGATGTTCCCATGGTTTGTTGGTATATCTATCCATCAAACTGAAAGTAGTTAGTGTGGTAGAGGTTGATGAGGTCCATGATTCTGGGCATTTTGTTCTTAAGTTTACTTGGCATATTTACACACATTCAAAAGATGTGTGTAAATGTTGTAAGCCGCCCATAGATGGGTGGTAAATAAATTTAATAGATAAACAAAAATGGCAATAAAAAGGAATAAACAAAAAGACCACAATATATGCTCTCCACCAGCCAACACCCAGATAAGCAGGGATTAACACCAGACAAACTATCAAGCAGAAAATAATACTCTTATCAAGGAACTCCAAGGACAAAACTATACCTCCACCAACACTGGCAAAGCAAGCTACTATATATAAACAAGGAGCAACCCCCACAGTCACTAGTACTGATAATAAAATGTATGCAAGCAAACAACCAAGCTCAGAGAGCACCAAGGACTCTACAGTTCAAACCTGAACTAAATATATTCTCTTCTATTGAAAATCAAAATTTTCTATCCTGTCCATGCCTAACTTCCTATGGCCCAGAAAAACTGCTGTGCCACATTAAAAGAATCATAATTATCTGTTGTAGTTATAACAATAAGGAACTATATCTAGCAGCATTTCAGAAAGATTGACAATTGATATATTATTTTATTTTACCCTAAGGAGTAAAAGCAATGTTCTATTTGCACGCAATAATTTAATTCACTTAATAGCCTCCGAGAAGTGGCAGGCAAGGTAATGTTTCTGTTTCTATCTTTTTTGAGGCGTAAGTGTTTTTATTCACATCATCTGATTAATTTGTCTGAGGTCCAACTGTCTTTTTCACTGAAAAAAAATGCATCAATTATATAGTTTGTTGTTTTTGGAAAATACTTTCCTCCAAAGCAATCAATCAAAATCTTGTTACAATTACTGATCAGAATTTTATACAATTTTATGATAAGAATCACCAGACTTAAGGAGAAGTGAAATAAAATTAAACAAATTCTACATTAAGATAAAACTAGCAAAATAAAAAAATTGACGCAACTACTGTAAGATTAAATATAAGAGGAATCTAAAATGGCTACTGAAACATTCAGATTATAAAGGTGACTTTAAATCATTCATTGTTATATTATAAGCAATAAAGTTCAATTTTTTAGCTGAACAGAATCTTCTCCATGTGCCACTATGTAAGGAATCCTATTGTCTCAGTTTTATACATGAAAAACCAGCATGTGGAATTAGCATAGATTTTAAAAGAGCAATTTAATATGCTTGCAATGTCTTATCCTCGAAATGTGGCATATGTCAAAACTGAGTAGTTCAAGCAACCAGGATTTATCTCAGGAACTCTAGAAAGATTTTAAAAAATTGCTTTTCATTATTTCCCCTCTTCTCTCTCTTCATAACTCCAAGATTCTGAAGGAACCGATAGATAGATATGATCTTAGAATTGCTAACTTTCAAAGATCCTGGAGCACCAAGGAACTACTACATGATTGGAAAAGGGCTGATGTAGTTCCCATCCTCAAAAAAGGAAAAAAATGGATCTAGAAAACTACAGACCTATCAGCCTGACATGAATACCTGGAAAGATTCTGGAAAAGATAATCAACGAATCTGTGACCACCTAGAGGCAAACAAAGTCATAACCAAAATCCAAATGGGTTTGTCAAAAACAGATCATGCTAGACAAATCTTATTGCATTCGTTGACTATGTAACAAAATTAGTAAACCAGAGAAATGCTGTGAATATAATTTACTTGGACTTCAGTAAAGTAGACCACAACCTACTACTTTATTAAAAAAATGGATTAGACAACATCACTACCAGATGGATTTGTAACTGGCTGACCAATCGCATTCAACATGTAGTCCTTAATGGAACTGCATCTACATGAAGGGAAGTATGAAGCGGGGAAGTATGCTCTTAGGCCCAATACTCTTCAATATCTACATCAATGATTTAGACAAGGAACTCATCAAATTTGAAGACAACACCAAGCTGACAGGATTAGCCAGCACTCCAGAACATAGGCTTAAGATACAGAAGGATTTTGACAGACTTGAGCACTGGGCTCTATCTAACAAAATGAAATTCAATGGTGAGAAAAGTTCTACATTTAGGCAAGAAAAAACAAATGAACAGGTATAGAATAGGTAGTACCTGGCACAATAGTAGTAACTGTGAGAGGGATCTTGAGTCCTAGTGACAATCACTTATATATGATCCATCAGTCTGCTGCAGCTAACAAAAAAGGCAATACAGTCCTAGGCTGCATTAACAGAGGGATAGAATCAAGATCACGCAAAGTGTTAATACTGCCTTATAATGCCTTGGTAAGACCACATTTGAAATATTGCATCCAATTTTGGTCACCATGATATAAAAAAGATGTTGAGACTCTAGAAGAAGTGCAGAGAAGAGCAACAAAGATGATTAGAGGATTGGAGGCTAAAACATATGAAGAACAGCTGCAGGAATTGGGTATGTCTAGTTTAATGAAAAGAAGGACTAGGGTGACATGACAGCAGTGTTTCAATATCTAAGGGGCTGCCACAAAGAAGATGTGGCACCTGAAAGCAGCAGCAGCAGCAGCAATGGATGGAAGCTAATCAAGGAGAGAAAAAATCTAAAACTAAAGAGAAAATTCCTGACAGAACAACTAATCAGTGGAATGACTTGCCTCAAGAAGTTGTGGATGATTCAACACTGAAGGTTTTAAAGAAGAGTTTGGATAACCATTTGTCTGAAATATTATAGTTTTTCCTGTTTGAGCAAGGGGTTGGACTAGAGGATCTCCAAGTTCCTTCCAACTGTTATTCTGTCTGTCACAATCTTCATTGACACACGAGTTGTTTTTAAAGTGGCTACTGTGGAAGGAGATAGAAAACTAAACATTCCTCCCATGCCCATTCACTAAATCACCTTTGGATCCATCCTTTCTCCATTTTTCCTCTTTTCTTATATGGTAACAAATGTCATGCCACCCATTCCTCCACCGTGGATGTTGAGAGTACTTGCACAGTATTTTGTCTGGTCTCAGGCTCCTGACCTGTCATCTTCAGCTATTGTTGCATCAAAATGGTTGAACCACTGTCATTGATATGCAAAGCTTATGAAGTATCACAGCAGTGCAATTTCTTCTCATCACCCAATTTTGTGATTAAAAAAAAAGCATTCCTGTAGCTTTGAATTCATTAATGGATGTTCCTGTAAGCATACTTGTTTCCAATGCCAATTAAAGTGTATATTTTCATTGCCATTTAAGACAGTGTTTCTCAACCTTGACAATTTTAAGGCATGTGGACTTCAACTCCCAGAATTCCACAGCCAGCAATGCTGGCTGTGGAATTCTGGGAGTTGAAGTCCACATGCCTTAAAATTGTCAAGGTTGAGAAACACTGATTTAAGAGATATCAAGTAAACAAATCCTGCATTAAAAACAGCATTTAAAACAATTCAGTAATCACTGCTACATTTGACAATGTAAATTTATCTTAGATGCATACTTGTATACGATTTCTAAATCTTTAAAAGGCAGGCTAAATGTCAATATGTCCCGGTATAGCTTTATGCCCCAGTACACGAATTACAGAGCACTATTATCTTGCCTTTCTTGCAAGGGTTAATCGTGGAGTCTTATCAATCTGTCTGATCATTCTGGAAAATCGGTTTATTAAAAGCGCAACAGGCCTATAGTAATCTATTTGCCTTCAATGATACAGTCAGTAGCTATTCAAGAAGAGAGGAAATTACTTCAAAGACCTCATGCATTATATCCACGACTCTCGCCTCTTAGATGAAACTTTTTTTCTAACAGAAGCAGACATTTATGGAAAGAAAAGATGGAAATTTGGGATTGAAAACAGAAAGGGACCTGCATCCAAAATAGCCCATACCTGGTATTCAGCGAGCCTTCTTCGCAATGTCAAGAAATCAAAGCGGAAACGGAAACTGGTACGGTTCGACGCCGCTAATCTACCCGGAAAAAACGAAGCCACTTAAGGAGGTTCCGTAGGAAAGTTCTTTCCGCCTTTTACTGACTCCGCCCCCTTCGCGGGGACTCCGACGGGCGACGCGATTCCCAGCCGGCCATAAGAGCTCTTTCCGTCCTTCCCCCTCCCCCACGTGTTTTCCCACGGGCGCGCGCAGTCGGTGGGGGGAGGGGGGGAGGAAGCCAATGAAGGCTGTCATTGTTAGGGGCGGGCTGCTGTCCAATGGGCGGGCTCCTTCTTTCGTTGCTGTGCTTGCTGACGGGCCGGAGGCGGCTAGAGGGGGAGGGATTGGCGGTAGCGCCGGTACCAATGGTGGCGAGTGCTGCGGTGAAGAGACGCTCCTGAGTTAGCAGCGCCCGGCTTTCTGCCGTCGTGACGTTGGTAGGTAGTCGTCTCCGGCTCTCCCCGCGCTCTCGGTAGAAGGGACGGGGCAGCAGCTCCCAGGCACCTGGAACTCCGCCGCTTCTTCGCCGGACGCACTGCGAGCTGCAGTGACATCTGCCCTTTGCACCCGGGAAGCCCCCGATGGGCACTTGTCGCTTTTCCCTGGCCGGTTCGGGTTCCCCTCCTCGCCCTTCCTGCTTCCCTGATCCTCCTGAGCGGTCATTGCGCTGCCCTCCTTCTTCCTTCCTCGCCAGAGCCAGCAGATTGCCACTCTCCATCTCCTTCACGCACTCCTTGGATGTGACGAAGCTTTTCGCCCTCTTTCTTCTCCTCCTCTTCCTCGGTCTTCTGCCAATGCCGGTTGCCTTCCTCTTTTCCGTATACAGCGGTAGCAAAGTCCCGGTCCGGCTCCCGCCGATCCTGCCGCTTTTCCTCGGAGATTTCGCTTCCGGATAAATTACGACCGTCTCATAACCGTTTTCTGTTTATAAAGTGACGTTATATTTTCCTGAGAGGATGAGGCCTCTTTGCTTCTTTACAAGCACAGCTTTTGCGAAGGAGTAGCAATGCACTTTTTTTCTTACTTCTCAAGATAAAACGTAAGCCACCTTTCCAGCTACAGTTTGTTTTGATCTGGTCTGAACTCGTCCCTGAATTATTTAGTAGTCCCCCTTTCTAACCTTAAATGAGTCCCTTTAACTAACATTTCTTTCTACGTTGATTGCTTCCCGGGAGTTGTCTTCTTATAATTGTTATAATATGATGAAGAATATAGTAGAATAGATATATGAATAAATGTGACAGAGATGTTATGTAACAGCTACATTGCTTATACAAATGTTCCTTTCATAAATTGACTCTTAGGTAAGCAAATGAACACCTACATGCAAAAACACCCTCCCCACGATATTTATTACTTCTGCTTCAATTTCACAACTTATATAGGTAAAGGAGAAAAACTATATATCCACATTACTGTATTCAGTTTCCATTAAATCTTTGGTTTGATTGGTGGACTTTAAAAATGTCAATTTCTTTTTCATGAGGAGCAGAAACTTCCATTCTATAAATCAGGAGGGGAAGTTAAGTGAATATCAGTGTTTAAGAAAGGGCATTAATTTATTATGTTTTTATTTCCTCAAGTTATTACATACAGCATTCAGAGTGTCTGCTAAGGAACATAGGATTTACAAGTCAAATTTGTAATGGCATTAAGCTGTGATGGTTATTGATGTATCTACAATATTTTGTGGATATATTATCTATACCATTTTGGTGGAAGCTACAAACATTTGAGTATATATATTTGCTTCCTGGTTCAGTTGAAACTAGTAAACATTGTTTTACTTATTTATGTTATATTTGATTGATTAATATAAATCCCTGTATCACATATGTGATTCTGGGTGACTTACAGAGCTAAATACATATACAGAGAGAGAGAGAGATAATCAAAATCATAACAAAAGACTGTTAAAATGATTTAAAAAAAATAGTGTGGGGGAGAGTGCAGTCAGTCGCACTAACAGTCCTGACGTTTTGCAGATTCTACATCACCATTACCAGATCCTCATGCCAAATAGCAAATCATGTCTTCAGGTCCTTTCAGAAGGCCAGTAAAGGTGGGATCAGTCTGACTTAAGGTGACTAATCCATATGTTTATGCATCTTGTTGAAAATTAGATTAATAATTAGTTATACGAGACAAAATTTTCTCCCATCATTTTTGTGTTAAAATGTACAGAAGAATCTCATTTATGTTATTTTAATAAATTCTTAGAAATGGGAGGTTTATGATATAGAGATTAAAGAAAGAATAGTAAAACAGCAAGATTAAATTATACCGTTTAGTTTTATTTTATTTTTTTCATATTTGATTGCTTGTTTAAAATAAGATTTGACAGATAGTTGACCTTTTCATTTCCTGGGATATGGTAACAAGCTTGATGAGAGTAAAATTGTTTTTACTCTCCAGATTTCCTTTCACATAAGATGAAAAGCCAATCAGTAGTATTTTCATGGACAAAAGGGGAGTTTCAGATATAAAATATTTCATTGAGCTTATTTATCTGTCATACATATGGTGTTAGAGATACAATTTAATGTTATGTTACATGTACATACCATTTGCCCCCATTTCAGAAAAAATTTAGTTATGCTTGGTAATAACTGATTTTAAGAGTTCTATTATTTAGTGTTTATTTTGATTTTAGTACTTCATCAATGGAAGATAGAACTATTATACAAGTTGGTCTTGGGGAATGCAAATTATTTTTATTTCTTGAAATTGGACATGGTAATTAAGATATTGTACATCAGTTTGATTTTTCTCTGGACTCTAGTAACATTGAGCAAAAGTATAGTTTTCTTAGCATGATAATCCTAAAGGACACATCATTTTTTTACAAAGATTTTACTATAAATCCCACTTGAATTTGTTTACCTAAGTATAAAGGTTTTAAGTGGAAAAGAAGCTACAATTCACTGACATTTTGACTTATTTTTTTACATGTAAAGTCATATCATAGGCTTTTTAGCTCCTTGCCTCTCTTTCCTGAGAACAATGCTTCAGACAAATGGACCTTGCACCTTCCAAAAACATTGTAAATAATGGACAATATTAAATAAAAAAGTAATGATAGATATAGAAAGCTGGCTGTGTGAGTTAATCACTCTCTCTTAGCCTAGTCCACCTCACAGGGTGATTGTTCTGGAAAAAATAGGAGGCAGGAGTATTACTGTAGGTATGTTTCCTGCCAAAAATATATCTTAAAGAAGGGATTAAAATATAACAACAACAACATCAACAACACTGGCAGAGTTTAAGTGCCTTGAAATGCTGTTTCTCTTCTACATATTTTCCTTTGTTTTTGTATTCCAAATTATTTTTGCTAATAATGCTATCAAAATTAAGTGTTATAAAGAAGTGTCTACTGTGATAGATGCGCAGCTTGCTGGGTAAGTGACTGTGCTTTATAAGCTAGTGCATAACCTCTGCTAGACCTGTCTTTTGCCTGTCCATTTTTCGGTAGCGGGTGGGGGTTGCATGTAAAAATTAGCATGAGTATGCATTGAGAAGCTTGGATATACGGGAAAATACACAAAACATAGTTGTACATGTATAGTTGCATGTATCCTTTTGGATTATGAACTTTAGTCTAAAAACAATGAACTCTGTGTGCCCAAAGAGGCTTTAAACTTACTTGTCCTCAGATGCTGCATATCACAAGACAATTTGTGAAATTCCTTCCAAGCCTGCAAATTAGATTGACTCTGTTCCATATGCATAGTTGAAGCAGAATGTTTCGTAACATGCTTTCTGATCTTACGCCATGTGCTCACCATTTTAGTGTTCATATTTGTATATAAGGCCTTCTTGAAGAACAGAATTCATATTTAAACATTTTAATGATGAAAACTCTGAATATCTTTGAAGATTAACTGTTATAGTTTCCAAAGACCTGCTAATAAGGGAACATTTTAGAGGAGAACAGTTTTATTTGTGTTATTATAACAGAATTGGAAGGGATTTTGGAGATTGTCTAGTCCAACCCCATGCTCAAGCAGGAGACTCTATACCAGGGGTCCCCAACTCCCCGTCTGTGGACCAGTACCGGGCTGCGGCATGTCAGCAACCAAACAAAGCCCCATCGTGAGATGCAGACAGGACACAAAGCCGTACTCCCTCCGGTCCACATAAAAAAACCTCTCCATGGAACCGGTCCCTAGGGCTCAAAAGGTTGTGGACCTCTGCTCTATACCATTTCAGACAGGTGGCTGTCCAGTCTCTTCTTAAAAGTCTCCAGTGATGGAGCACCCACAACTTTTGACAGCGAGCTATTCCACTGGTTGATTGTTCTCACTGTCAAGGAAATTTCTCCTTAGTTCTAGTTTGGATCTCTCTTTGACTAGTTTCCATTCATTGTTTCTTTTCTTGCCTTTGGGTGCTTTGGAAAATAGGTTGACCCCCTCTTCTTTGTAGCAGCCCTTCAGATATTAGAACACTGCTATCATGTCACCCTGGTCCTATTTTTCAATAAACTAGCCATACCCAATTTCTGCAACCGTTCTTCATATATTTTAGTCTTCAGGCCCCTAATAATCTTTGTTGCTCTTCTCTGCACTTTTTACAAAGTCTCAACATCTTTTTTATAATGTGGTGACCAAAACTGGATGCAATTTGATTTTGCATAAAACTAACATAGAAAGGTTATAAATCTTCCTATGTTAGTTTTCAGTACCCTGCCTGATATCTAGTTCAACATATTGGAAGGTAATAGGCTAGATCAGTGATGGCGAACCTTTTAGAGACCGAGTGCCCAAACTGCAACCCAAAATCCACTTATGCATCGTCGGGTGCCAGGTGGGTGTGGCCCATTGGGTGGGCATGGCTGCGGTGGTAACGGCAGACTGGGTGGGACTAAAAAGTTCAATCAATCAAGTCCAACTTTGCAAATCTTTTTTTTCCTGCGAGAAGTTGAAATTTATTGATTGATTGAACCTTTTTTTTTTTTGCACGTGGCCATGGAGGCCTAAAGCGAAAAGGTTTTATAAAACCCAGCTGAAGGCCTAGGACTGGGGCGACGGCGC